TATATATATATATATTCATGTATATTTGTTTAGCCTCTTAGTAGTCTACCTCTTGCTAAATATTTGATATATATTAACTATATTTTATATTTAAATAATGTATATTTTTCTATATTTAAGCACTATATTTATCAGAAATTTTAGGGCTTAAAATGGTCTACATTTTGCAAATCTAGATTTTTGAGGTTAGCATTTGATGTACATTAATTATGCTTTTTTGTGTAAATAAAGCTTGTTTATACCATTTCTTTAAATTTGGAATTCATAAAATTTCCATTTTTTCTAGTAATGGGGTTGCGTAACATGTTCATATTTACACCATGTTACAAAAGCAGTTTCAATAAGAATTTGTTAAAGACATTTAGAAAAAAAATAGAAAAAAGTGGTTGGTTTCTAGAAAACAAATCAGATACAAGTTCCTTCAACAAGTACATTTAAGTAGATCATGCTAAATAAAAAATTTTAACATCTTATTAGGAAGGAAGTTTTGAAATAGTTTTATTACAAAAAATCATATGTTTTTAGAGTTATAATACATTTTTATTTTAACAAAATAAAACAAAAGCCTCATTGTAAAACATTGATGTCTTTTTCCTCATAAGGCCATAAAAGAAAAGAATATTATGAAATTCTGCTTGCTACAAACAATACATTTGCAATAAAATCCAAAGATGAAAAATGCTTAAAAATTGAGAACTTCTTGAAAGTTTTTATGTTTTTTGGAGTTATCTCACTATAAAATAACATTGCCTAAATTTTTACATTTTAACAAAATGTTAACTTTTTAAAAAGAGTCCAAATTAATTTAAAAATCATTCATTTTTTTATCAGTATTGTTAAAGTCATTAAATTTTTTGTGATATGAAAGAAATTAGGCAAATGATACTAATATTGAATTTATAATTCTGAATATCTAAATTTTAAAATTTTAATGAGCACACTAAAATTTGAAAGTAATTAGTTGCATAAAAAGTAGTTAATATCACCTTATACTGAGCACAAAGTCTTATTTTTATGCATAATTATACTTTGAAACTCAAATTATTTTCTCATATTTATATATAGATACCTTCAGCACTCCCAAAAAAGTAGTTTTCTCTGCCATGTCTAAAAAGTGAATTGGAATCAGCAAATGAATTTTCAGATTCTGAATCAAAATTTAAAGATGAATCTATGCTCTGGCTGTAGTTATCATTCATATCTTGATCATAAGAAAGGTGATTATCAGCTAAAAAAAAGGGGAGAATTTTAATCAAAATTATTGATTTGAAATATTAAATTTTACTTATATTCAACAACATGGTAACAAAATTTATCAGATTTTTAAATCAAACATATAAATTTCAAATTCCTTTATAGCAAGCTTTTCAACACAATGGATGTTATACAACTTGAGATATTGATTCCTTAGAACATCCTACTGAGCGATAGCGCTTCGCGCTGTCGTGCCACAGGTCCCTGGTTCGATCCTCGGACCGGGCAAGGCTGACTCAGCCTTTCATCCCTTCAGTGGGTTGATAAATGAGTACCAAGCATGCTTGGGAACTAAACACTGGGGGTTCCGCGTTCGGCTGACCACCTGACCGGAGCATCTGTTTCTGCACCCCAGAGCCCAAGGTCAAGAAAACTGAGATGGGCACAGTAGGCCTTGGCCCTCAAGGGCTGTCGCGCCGCTGAGTTTAGTTTTTTAGAACATCCTACTATCTCCAATATTAAAATTTTATGTTTAATGAAAATATTTATCTTTTTAGGTTAATTTAAAAACTTATAAAGTTTTATGGCTTTTAATGTTCAACTTTTTAAAAAATAATGGGAAGAATGTTAATGCGAAAGGTTTGAAAGAATTCCAGCAACTCATAATGTGAAATCAGCATAGATCTGATTTTATTACCAGACTAGCAGCAGAATCCTTAAAATGGCTCCAGCTAAACAAAAATAAAAAAAATGCACAACATTAAATTCAATGAACTTAATATTCCTTTTTCATGTTGAAGTTTTATTTTGAAATGTATCAGTAATTGTTCTGATATATTGCATCAGTAATTAAATGAGCACAACATAAAATACAATGCTAATACATTTTTCCCAACTTAATTAGAATTTCGCATTAATATTATAGTCAACCAGTTCACGGTTTTTACATATCATTCTCTAGTGCTTATGATTACTGTAAGGAATTGTTTTTGTTTTCAAGTTATAAACTTTAACTTTTAGTGATTTGTAGTTGTGGTTTTGTAAACATGTCAGAAAGAACCATCTAGTGGGAAGAAGTAAGCTACCTTGAGAATCCTTGTTGGACCAATGCCTATAATATCAACCAAAATAAAAAGGATCTTTTTCAGGCTGTAGCTCTGCTGAATCCCTGCTCATTAAGTGAAAGCACTGCTAGTTTAGGAGATGAGTCGTGAGCTTCCTAAGGTGTAAATATATTAGCTGCATGGCACTGTGGACCAGAAAACTGTGATCTTTTACCAAAAGTCAAAAATTACATTTTCAACTAAAATATGTGTAGGCAGTTTTAATATAGCCCAAATTAAGTATTCATAATCATTCCAAACATAATAATTTACTTTTTGGACCAACAAGAGTACAACGTAATGAAAAATATGTTTAAAAAAAAATTTTTAATGTAACTTTTAAATTTTTATTTCAGAAGTATAAATAGGAATTTCACCTTACTGTTACATTTTTATCAGAGAAATTAGTCTGAAATTATAGTACAATTTTTCAATTTGTTGGATAAGTTAATACACTTGACAAACTTATAGTTAATATCTTATCATTAGACATTTTACAATATTTGAATGACTTTCGAAACTTAGTTCCAAAAATAGCTAAACTTTTTTTGTTGTCTTCTTTGATGTTTCTTACACAAAAAAAAATTATGTTTTTTTTCATGTTTTCGCATCATTTTGTAATTAATTTGCGTTACTTTATAATATTACTTCGGAAATATAATTTGCTTTACATTTTTAATATAAAATTACGAAAATTATTATATTTTCATTGCTATATTTAATTATTTAAACGTACTATATTATATATATATATATTTTTTGATCACCATATTTCAGCTGCCATTTTGTTTTTTTGGGGGGTATTTTTAGTGCATTTCAAAATTTCAACTATGAGTTCAATTTACCTGCACATAAAACCCCCCCGAATTTTGAAAACAATTTTATCCAACTACTAATTTTGGCCACAAAACTTTGGATGCTGACCCACTGTGCATGGCATTGATTTTACTCTTTAGTTTTCTAAAAAGTTTAATCCTTCAAATTAGTTTTGGATAGTTCAAATCAGTTTGCTGTTATTGCAAAGCAAAACTCTGCAACATGGTTCAAAATCCACATCGGTTATCTGCCTACACTTACAATATCATAGCTTTTCCTGAATGTCATTTTAAGAAACTTGGTCTGGAAGTTCCATCTGCTATTTCTCCCAAAAAGAAAAAAATCTTAATCTTACATATGGAGAAGAGTTAAAAACAGCAAATATATCTTTTCCTAAACTTTGTGCCCTTAACTACGATGGTTGGAAGTGTGATGTAAGAGTTTCTCATTCGGACCATGGAAGTTGGAAGTTAAAGTGAATATGTTACTTATTACATAAGAACCAAAAATCAGACTTACCAAAAAGAGTCAGACTTGCTTGATAATTGCAACATCATAACTAGACTGGGGATCACATAAAAATGGTTTAACGGAATGATAAGTATTATTTAATACTCCTTCATTAGAATAAGTGTGTTTGGATATAGTGAATGGCAGGCAAACTTCTTTTACTTGAGTACATCACTCCTACTGGCAATGTCAAGTTCAGTGGTACACTTGTTTTGGGGTGCTTGCTTGGTTTGACAATATGTTTCTGGTAAATTGAAAGTCAACAATTAGTCCTCCCTACCTTCTGATTACTTTGATATATTAATGAATGTTATTTTCAGGATGAAAACACTTCATGCCATGTTGCAACTTCTGTCAAGCAGTGGTATCAAGATATGAATGTAAAGTGTTTTGCCTATCTTTCGCAAAGTTCAAACTTAGATTTCATCCAACATTTGTGTACAAGTTAATAAGATACTAATCGACCAAGAAACCACATCTCACATCTACAGCTGAGCTAGCCACATTCTTGATAACAAAATTGAGATAAATGAGAAACAAAACCTTACTAACAGTATGCCCAAACAGGATGCTAGTATAATTGCAGCATAGGGAGTAGCATTACTCAGAGTACAATTTCTTGTCCATTTAACAGTCTGTTTTATCATTATAAGATTGTGTATGCTATATACCTGTATAAATGTTGTTTAAGTAATCACTCTTTTACATGCATTACTCAATATTTAAAAATTAAATTTTTATTTGCATGTTATGTGAAGTTATAAAGTAATATATAAGTATAATCTTCTATATTATACTAAATTTGACTTATTTGCAGGCTTGTGAAAAAAGCAGAATTATTATAATCACAAATTTTTTAAAAATTGAAAATATCAAACCTTTATTTTCTGGCATATATTCATCTAATTCATCAACTAAAGCTGATTCATCTAAGGAGATATTAGTGGGAAGTATACTGTTTTGACCTAAAAAAAAAGTAATGCTCATAAATTTTTAGGAATAAAAATTAAACAATGGATGTTTTAAAATTAAAAAATGAAATATTTGTTTTAATTATTTATGTCCAGAAAATAGATGAAAAATTCAAATGCAAAAGTAATGCCTTTTAAAATAAATGCTTTTTTTTAAAGAGTAATCCTTGCAATTAACTTAAGATTTTGTTTTGATACTTAGTAGAGTTCTTTTCATTAAAAAGTTTTTAAAATTTTAAAATAAAGGAAAACATGAAAAAATTGCCTTTTTAATATTAATTCAAATTGCATGACATTTTTTTTAAAATTAGCCCTAGTTTAGCGAGTTTTAAGAAAAAAATAAAGAGACAAACCTCTATTTACAGTCAAACCTTATTATTAACATCAACTTAAAAAGACACAGAAAATGCATCCATGTAATAATTTTGAAAATTTTTTAAAAATAGTTCATTACATAGCCATTTTATAATTAACCATATGTAAGGTTGCAGAATTAATGGTTTGGAATCTAATTTTGTCTTTCAAAAAACGGCAGCCCAATCTTAAGATTTCAATTAAATGTGCCTAAAATGTAAATGTAACAGGGGGCAACTTAGTATATTTTACAAACTTCATAGCAAAGAAAATTTTTTAGTCATAAATATTTTCTATAAATATTTTAGAAATAGTTATTTAAAAAAAATTCTAACTGGTTTTATGCATTTTTCAACTTTTATTTTTGCTAGAATTAGCACTCAAAACTCAAGTTTAAACTAGAAAATGTGGCTATATGTTTAATGTCACATGGCTTAGTTCAGAAATTAATTTTAAAAACTTAATATTTATAATAACAATATTTTTTTACATAAAAATTTGAGACATTTACTTTAATATTTGGTTTTAAGAAATAAAACCATATATATATAAGTTCAAATTGGTTTTTTGAACTTATTTTATGAGTTCTATTTACTTGCAGCTTATACGCAGTAAATAAAACTTATTGGTTTTCTTTTGTCCTTTTTGTATTTATATACTACATGTGTGTGTGTGTATATATATATATATATATATATATACTGGACATAACCTAAAAATAAGTTTTCTGGGTGTTTTTATTTTATATACAATAAATATCAGGAATTAGAATGAATAAATGAAAATATTTTACTTTCACTAATAATTCTGTTTAATTTTGGTGTTTCAAAGATCCATGACTTTGTAATGCCAAAAGGAGACACCAGTACTTGTTGCATCTGATTAGGAGCACATTTTAATAGCTGATACAAGGTTTCTAAAGTTGAAGTAACAACATTATGATCTGAATGATGGCAAAAATGCAGACTTATTTCGTAAACCTAAAATACACAAAATATAGAAGATTTGAAAAATGGATTTAAAAAATATATAATTATAGCATTTAATGATTGATAATGAATATCAATATTAAAACACAATTACTGATAAACAAATAAAACTATTAAAACAATTCAAATAAATCTTAACAATATGTGTAGGTAAAACAATATTCTTCAATTTTCATTTTTTCTAAAGTAAAATACTCCCACAAAAGCTAGTAGTCAGCCAAGATGATTGTGAAGGTAAAGGCATCACAATGTTGAGACCAATACCATGTGGCTAACATTGCCCACTAGTTGCCATACCTTCCCAGACAAGTAAATACTCATTGATTTAAAGCTAGGTGACCTTCAAACAGCTATAGAGGTTAGAATCACATTTCTTTAAAATGACAGCTCAGTGCCTAAGACTGTATTTTATTATATCTAATAATGCCATGAAAATACTGAGGAAGAAGTCAAATTAAGGAAGCTTGTTATTAAACATTTGTTTTAGATTTTTATTGGATTGATATTTTATTATTGGATAGATATTTTATTAGATTTAATTATCATTAACAAATAATCTCAGAATTTTTATAACTGAAAAGTAGCTTTGGTACTACAAACAATGATAAAAATATATTACCTTTAGAAGCATCTCTTTGGTTACACCAACATCTTCATCATTTTGCAAATTACTGACATTGTTTCTGAAACTTGGGGCAAGCATAGATTCATTTAAATGCGGCAGCATATATCTCATACAAACAAGAACTCCAAGAATAACATAGACTGAGTGTTCCTCTTGAACAGGAAGAATTATATCTAGAAAATATATGAATTACATTAAGTTAAAACAAGTACTGATATAGGGTAATATTGAAACCCTCCAGCCTATAAATATGAACCAACAAAGATCATAACATGGGTAGCAAAGGAACTGGGGAAAAAAACATAATTCTTCCATTGGCTGATTTTAGTAATTTTCAGGAGAGCATTCTGAATTGAAATAATCTGTATTACTTTAAAACCATTCAGCTAAAAAAGGACATAACAAATAACTAAGTTCTTAACATTATTAGCTCTTTTTTAATACCAATTAAAACAGATGCAGAAGCTTCGTGCGACATGAAAATAAGAAAGTGTATTAAGTAGATAAACGTATAGGTAGACAAAAATAGGAAGAAAGGCTGCATTCATTTTATGGCCAGTGTTTTATTATCTGCTCTCTTGTACTATTTTTCACCAAGGTTAAATGGTTGTGATACATAATTGATTTGATAAAAAGGTAAAGTTATCAAGAAAAATATTACCAATTAACTCAATGAAAAAGCAAAAAATTACCATGATTAAAAAGCTGCATAAAAACCCATTTGAACTACATTTTTGACAAGTGAAATCATAAAACTCAAGAGAAAAACAAAGACAATGAAAAGTTTATAATTGAAAAAAAAATCTTTGATTTAAACAAATCTGGATGTATAAAAATTAGAGTCACTAAGCATAATCTTTATTTTCCAATTAAATATTGGTATTTAATTTGCGAAAACATGAATAAGTAAAAAAATACAAAAGGTAATTAGGAACTACTCAAGCAATTTAAATAGCTCTTAATTCATAACTAATAGTTTGAGGGCTTTAATACATAATGGATTATCTAAAAAAATAAGCAAACTATTTATTTATTTTATAACTAAGTTAAATACAATTTAATAATCTGAATATAAAAAATTGTATAACATTTCTTTGATTTAAATAAAAATCACATAGACCTGCATAGTTTAATAATCAAAAATAGTTGGCAATAATCTTACCAAATAATCCTAAAAGCAACCATGAAAAAAATGAAGCAGGTCGACGAGAATATTGGCACACACACGTTAAAGAAGTTGCAGCGGCACGTCGTATGATTGCAGAATTGGAGGTCAGATTAGGTAAAAATACCTTTAACAAAGTCTATAAAACAATATAAATTTAGAGATTAATTGAACGCAAATAAAATAAAAAAATATCTTAAACATACCTTATTATATGAGCATATTTGTTTTCTTTTAGAATAAAACATGCTTCAAAATGTTTAAACTTAAGAAAACAACAATAATACATTTTGCATAATAAATTAATGTTGCTTATTACACAAAATTGAGCGAGCAATCTAAGAAGATTTGAATTCTTTGCTTAATCAATAGCAAGGTGTGTAGCCAAAATTTTTCAACAAAAAATAAAATATTTTTGAGCACTATTAAATTTTTTTCCCATCTATTGTTGAAAGTTCNATTTTGTACTTAATTTGCTCTATTTTTGTTTAAATTTTCTTTTCTTTTTTTTTGGAGTTCTTCACACTATTGTATTGATATATTTTGTTTTGGCTATATTAAAGCAATATTAGAAAGCATTTTTTTTTTTTTTTGCAGATATTATCATGTCAGCTGATGACAAGATTATATATTTTCATTATTTTGTTTTCTGGCTTTTTAATTTTTATTAAATAAAATTCTTAAATTATATCAATACAATAGTGTGAGGAGTACCAAAAAACTGAAATGAAAATAGAACTTATTACACAAAAAATGCAAAATATATAAAATAAAAAAATTAAGAAAATACAGAATAAAATTCAAAATGTAATATATAAAGCGAGTAGAGAATAAAGATGCACTTACATTTACTGGCATTTTTCAATAATGCTTTAAAATGTTTTGGCAACAAGTTTACCAGATTAAAAAATATGAAAATAGAAGCGTGATTGGATGATGATGAAATGGTGTGTTGTTACTAAAATACAGAAGCGTGTTTGATTCACTAGTTACATTGGAGAGGCCCCAACTGGATGTGCGCAAGGTAATAATATTATACTGGATAATACAAAGTTTATAATTAATAAGGATGAATTTTAATTGAAATTTTTTTATATTGTTGATTTTAGAAAAATAATTAACTTTTAATATCTTTATTAATTATTGGAAGATTTTTTGACATGGATTTGCCCAAATTGGATTTGAATAAAAATATAAATTAAGTTAAGAAAGAAATTTTCAATTATAACATACAATTAGCTCAGCGATTTTACATAGAATTTAATAACATTAGTTGGATATCCATACTTTTTTATTAAATGTTGGAAGAATTTGTCGATTTATTTTTTCGATAAATAAACATTATTACAAATTCTTTCCATTTGATTAAAAATGGTATTTAAATAAATGTTTTCAGATATATTCGAATTCCATATAATTAGTTATACAGTAGGGAACCGATTATCCGGAACGATCGGGACCATCGCTATTCCGGATAACTGATTTTTCCGGTTTTCTGAATCTTTACAAAAAGCTTTTGTTCTTTTTTTATTGTTAATCCCAACTAAAAAAAATGTTTGGAAATAATCTTAAAAAGAAGAAAAAACGATGAAGTAATACACTAATGATTATTTCCAAAATGATGGTAAGGTAAACATCTTTCAAAAAAGAAAGAAAAATCCTAAAATCTTATGAGGAAAAAAAATTTTTTTTTTTTAAATGGCGGGAAAATTCATTGAATTTTGTTCCAGTTTTTTGGTTTTCCAGTTTTCTGATTTCCGGATAACGGGTTCTGTACTGTATATATATAGTCAGACCTCTATTTACCGAAGTCGCTAGATCCCGAAAAAAAGTTCATTAAATAGAAAATCGCCATTTGAAATACTTACATGACACAAAACAGGCATTAAATTCATAAACACTAGAAATAATTAAAATTGCAATTGATACACCTTTATCTTGTAAATTATTATCTATTATTTATTTTATAAATCTTAACCATAAAAGAAATCTGCAAAGAAAGTAAGAACAGAACAAAACATTAACCAGTGTTACACTATCATGCTACTTATATTTTCCACTGAATAAAAAAGCTAAACTTTTATATATTAAAATTATTGCAGCATTTATTATAAAATTAATTTTAAGCATACATTATCACATGCGTTCTTAATTTTAATTGCTACAGATAAAGTCCGTTAATTTTGTCTGAGTTTTTCGATTGAAAAAGTGTTTTTTTCTCATATTAGAGGTCTCACATTTTTTTAATGCACCAAAAACTCCTTCAGCCTTATTCTCCTCAAACTGCAATCCATGTCGAATTGTTTCAAATGATTTTAACATTTCATCACATGAAGGTTTGCTGATTTCTTCATCTCCTTCATCTTCCTCACAATTTATGGCTCTATTGTTTTTATTTTTCACACCGTCCAAAATATCTGATTCCGCTAATGTTTCGGTGGTTTCAGAATCAATAGAAAGAAAATCATTAATCAGTACATCATCATTAATTTCGTGGTTCTCTCTTAGCTGTACTCACATTTAAGTTCCTCTAAAGAAATGTCATCCTCATCCTCCGCACTCTCCAAATTCTTAGCGTTGACAAAAAATCCAGCTTTAGCAAAACTGTTACGAATGGTACGATCTGCAACATCATAGTTCTGTGCTTTAGAAATTTCTGTTATGCTTTCTTGCAAATTGATAATTGGCATAGATTGCTTATTTTCAAGCACAGTGATAACTTTTCTTACAATTCTTTTGTAGTACTGCAATTTAAAGTTTTGAATCACACCTTGATCCATTGGTTGTAACTTCGATTTAGTGTTTGGAGGCAAGTAAAAACTATAATGTTTTTCAGTTTTTTGTTGATTTCTTCCGAATGGGCAGGGCAATTGTCGAAAATTAGAGCAATTTTGCGATGGTCTGCACTCATAAGTTTATCCAACTTATGAATCCATTTTTCACAGATTTCTGACGTCATCGATGATTTTTTGTTAAAGTCATAATCAACCTCCAAAGATTCCCTCTATTTTCCCTGCTCATTTCCTACTAACGGAATTTGACCCTTTTCCCCCTTTTCTAGAGGCGTTGCATTTCCTGTATGAAATGCTAACAAAAAGGGAAAAGAATTTTACTGCTTTCTCTAAAAGTGGATGCGAAAATCAATTCAAGGTCATTTCCCCCATAAAATGCGTTAAAAAGTTCATAATTTTCACAAATATTTTGCAAAATAGGGAAAGTAGATTTTTAAAAAAAAATTTTTAAATAGAAAATTCACTTCGCAATTTGGAAGTTATTTTATGAGGAAATTTCCACAATGTTCTTGGTTCCACGAAAAAATTCGCAAAATAGAGAAATTTGTAAAATGGAAGTTCGTTAAATAGAAGTCCGACTGTATATATACATATATAATAAAAGAAAAGAGATTAATGAAGAAAATTAAGAAAAAATAATAACTTCTATTTACTGTGCATAAGCTACAAGTACATAGAACCCATAAAATAAGTTAAAAATGCAAAGAAGACAAGGAAAAAATATCATTCGAAAGAGAAGAAAAATTATTACCAAAAAAAAAATTTTAAAAAAAACTTAAAAATAAATTTTAAAAATTGAAGAAGAAATTTAAAAAAAGCCAGAAAACAAAATAAGGAAGTGATATAATCTTGTCATTAGATCATATGATTATATCTGCAAAAAAGAGTAAAACTCAGTGGCGCGACAGCCCAAAGATGGCCAAGGCCTACTGTGCCTTGACCTTGATCTCAGTTTTCTTGACCTTAGGCTCTGGGGTGCAGGAGCAGATGTTCCAGTTAGGTGGTCAGCCGAACGCAAAAAGAGCGCTTTCTAATATTGTATTAAGGTAGCCAAAGCAAAATATATCAATACAATAGAAGAAATACAATACAGAATATAAAACAAAGTAGAAAAATATATGGAACATAGAGAATAAAATAGAACGATACTAAGAGAACTTTAATAAATTCAAATACAAATGTAAATTATCGAATGGTCCCTACTAAATTTATTAAAATTTGTAACTTGGTTCAGTGTTTATCTAATAAAACAATTAAAAAAAATTTCAATAATTTTGAAATGCAGCTAATATATATATATATATATATATATNTAAGCATAAAATAAGAAACTCATAAATTTAAAATTATAATGATCTATGGTTATAATTCAAAATAACACTAGCTTTTATGGGATACTTTTAAAATAATTACTTAATTAAAATTTACGTAATATATATATATACACAGTGAAACCTCAGTTAAGAGGACACTCTTGGGACTGAAAAATGTTTCACTAATGAGAGTTGTCTGTTAACGAAAGTTGTCAATTATGGCGAAGAGTGCCTTAATAACGAAGACTCATGCCATAAATTGTTTTTAGAATAATTGCAATAATATAGAAATAATTATATAATCAAATTATATAGTCAAGTCAACTATTGACTTTGACATTTATTAATTATTATTTATCCTAATATATATATGAAGAACACATAAAATTAACAAAATGCAAGAACATTTTACGTGATCAAGATAAAATAACTAGTTTTCGACAAAACTTTTCGTTGATTATATTAGCCAATATAATAACAATTTATGAACAATTTTAAATATATTCAATATTGAGTCTCTCATTCTATTTTTAAAATTAATAATTACTTTATTTAATTATGTCAAAAATAAATTTTAATTCAAAATTAAAATTAATTAAACTATAATTTAAAAAAATTATGATATGTATTTTTTAGATTTAAATAAAAGTTATTCATAAAAGCATATTCAACAAATACAATAAAAAGATTAATTTTATTGATCAAACTGAATTTATAAGGATAAGTAACTAAGTATATATGCATCAAACTATACATATAATGAATTTTATTATTTAACTGATATTGCACACTACCCCAAGAAAAGTTTTACTAAAGTAATTCAAAAGATAAAATAAAAAATAAATAAATAAATAAGTAAAAAACGACTTTTATACAAAATTCTATGAGAAGGCAGAGATTTAGAGAAATAAAAGAATACATATATTTAAGTGATAACACTAATGAGATAATAATTTTCCTTCACAACAGATCTCCGCTTTTATTTCGTATAAAAATGTCATGAAGTTAAAAATATAATAGGCAACAGTATTTGGAAATTCATTATTGTAGGACTTAAAAATTTTTCTTACATACAATATAGTGATCTATATTTAGCTTTATCAATCATTTAAAAATAATTATCGAAGTTTTTAATTAGGTATAGCAAGATGCAAGAGGTGAACATTTACATTACAACAATGTGTCAGAGGTAGCTTCTATTAACTCTGTGATGTAATCAACATTATAGGTTCAAGTACCAAAATTTAGGTATTTGAACCTATGTTGATTACATCACAACCCTATAAGATACCAAGTCTCCCATTTTTAACAATTTTAATTGTATTCAAATAGGGATGCATATTAAACACATAAAAATTTAAATCTGTTTGGTAGTGCTTATATAGCACTGTTTAATTGCTTAAGTAAAAAAATTTCTAAATTAAACAGTATTCATCAAAATTAATTAATCAAAAGAATTTTTAAAAAGTGAATAATAACAATCACCTTTATATCTTTATCATTCGTATACTGACCCAATACAGGCATAAGTTTTGTAAATGTTATTGCCAGAGTTTCTTGAACAGATTCTTCATCTTTCCGTTGACAAATTTTAACTAATGCTGGTATTAAATTCACTGTATATGGTCTAAAAATAATATTAAGATAAATTAACACCTGTTATAAAGATTTATAACTACTATAATAAATATTACAAAAATTCAATACCTAAAAAAATATAGGAAAGAAAAACAAAATATTGATTAAGAATTAGCTGAATATTCAACTCGACGGAATACATCAAATGAATTATAATTGTCTGCATTCCTACATAAATCACTAAATTCATAGCTTAATAAAACTAAAAGAATTAACATCAGAATATATTAACTTAAGAGAATTTTGATTCTTGGAATAAATCAATATGAACTCCTGGAATTTTTAAGGAATGAAATAGAATATGCTTTTTTTAGCTTTATCTTAATTGATATTAATTGCAATTCTTTGTTTAAAAAAATCATTTTCTGTTTTGTAAAAATAATTAGAATTATATTTTCAAAGGATGTAGAATGAAAAGAAATGTTACACATGTGAAAAGTTTGTGTTATTTAACAATAAATAATATTATATTTTTATCATCATAAAACAATTTACTAATTTTAAATGAATGAAGGAATGAATTTTCAAATTTTTATTAGAGGATAAAAAAAAAATTCAAAAATCATTTGGTCTTGTGCCAGCCATCAGCCCCAACAGCACCCATCTAGAAACTCACTCGAGAACAAGCCCTTTCCCTTTATCTCCTTATTTTGTATTCCTTTTAATGTCTGCAGATAGAACAAACTTATTTTACATTAAGTCAGCAGTAACCTTTTTTCCTTACATTGTGTATGTGTCTCTCTCTCTATATATATATATTATATATATATATACACACACAGGGCCGGCGCTAAACATTCGCCACTTCGCCAAATGCAATGAAATTGTAAATTCAGCAAGATAAATTTTTTTTTTGGCGGATGATTTTTTTCTAACGAAGAAAAATATATATTCCTCTCAATCCTAGAAAAAAAGGTCCAAAGGAATTTTTCATGAATAAATCCTGTATTTTTTATTTGATTACAGTAATTTCCATTAAATGTGTCACATAACTAATTAAAATTATATTAAGCCCTGATAATGTAAGAATCAGCAACAAGAGAGATTAAGTACGCTTGAGACAAACTACAGTAAAATACAGACTAATACGTTCGCTACCGGGTCGCATGACCAAATTCTTTCTAACAGTTAGTGTCAACAGATTAAATGGTGGTAAGATGCATAATCATCCAACTATTTTTGTAGAAAACATATTTTCTCGTGACAATAACATATCAATAACATGACAAAAACATAATGTTATTTAAACTTTATCCTTATATTACTGCACTAGTCTAAGCTCTTCTTTCCCGTTCATTTACTCTTCCCCAACTGCAAATTGACTCTTGATTTGAATTTTATAAAATAATTCAATTTATAGTAAATTTGTATTTTGATTAAATTTTTTAGGAGAAAAAATCAATCATAAAAAATTGTTAAGTTTTGCCATTGGCTAAGAATTTTGAAAATAGACTAATACTTTTTGTGTTTGGCTAATTTACTGGCTAATAATTTGAAGTCCTTAGTGCGGGCCCTGTATCTATATATACACATAGTAAAATAATAAAGACAAAAAGGAAAAGAGAGATTAACAAAAAAAATCAAGAAAATAAAGAAAAATAATAAGTTTTATTTACTGTACATAAGCTGTAAGTATGTAGAACTCATAAAATAAGTTAAAAATATAGATAAAACATGGAAAAAGATAAAGATTTTTTAAAGGAGAAGTAAAAAAAAATTACAGATAAATAATTATCCAAAACAAATAGTGCGCTATTTTTTTTCGGATATAATCATGTGAGCTGATGACAAGATTATATCTTTTTCTTAATTTTTTAATTTTAAAATTTTTTTAAAAATTTCTCTAGTTTTAAATTTGTGAACTTTTTTTCTTATCCTTTAAAAAATCTATATTTCTTTTTTCATGTTTTCCGTACATTTTTAACTGATTTATATCTCTATATTTTTATTTATAACTTTTTATATGTGTATATATATATAATCATTTAAATATACATAGATTTAAAAACAAAGCACATGCAATATTTCTTCTTAAATCTAAAAAGTAAAATAAAATTGGTGATGACAAATTTTTAACCATAAGGAAATTCAAACCTGCACTTTTGTGGTCTCATCAAATGACAAATATCTCCAAAACGACTTAAAGCAGCTCGAAGACTTCGTGATGGACCGCACTTCTTAATTTCTTTAAAAAGTTCAACAAGGAGACGTCCCAAATGGGAATCTAATAGAGACTAAAAAAAAAATAGGATCTTTGAAAAAAAATTTCCCAAATCAAAGTTTCAAAATATAACAAATATTTCCAGCATGATTCAAAAATTGAAAATGAAGCCTAAAAATAAATTTGAATTTGCTTAGCAAAAAGCACTATATATACAGTACCCTTCCAAATTATTAGGGACATTTAAATTTCTAAAAAATTGTCATTTTTCAAAGTGTCATAACTTTTTCAAAAGTGAATCAATTTTCATAAAAAATTCAGGATATCATGATCAGGTTTTTTACTTTCACCTAAAAATTACTAATTTAACTTATCTCATTTTTTTTGCAAAAATTTACACATTTGAACAAATCAATTTTTTTTTTTAAAAATGTCAGGTCTGACAAGTTGCTACTCTGTAAAAAAAATTTATGCACAAAAATTTTTATTTACACATTAAAGTACAAGTCATTAACTTTAAAACGCGCTAAAGTAAATGACTGTACGATTTTTTTGACCGCGATATGAGATTTTGAAAAATTTTTGCCATTTATAGTGAAAACGAAATTATTGTGAATTCGCTTAAAGAGCTTCAGCTTAAAGAGATCCATCTATTGACTATTTTCTGTTGAAAATTTGCTAGTTATTAATTATTCATTTGTTACGTAAGGTCCGCACAAGCTTATATTTAAAACAGTTGAGAAAAGTCTAACTTTTGTATAAAAGTAGTTCTATTTACTGCAACAGAGTTGCAGTAAATAGAACGCTATGCTTTGATACATTTGTCGCTGTTTATTATTATTGTTTATTAAAATACTTTTTTATGATATCTTCTGGCTTCTTGATTATAATTAATTTAAACTAAATTCCTTGTTCTTTAACCTTACCTTATACGGCGTAGTCGGCTTTTTAAAAAAAAGAACATTTCAATTTCTTTATCTTTATTATGACAAAAAATTTTCAAAATATCATATCTCGGTCAAGAAAAATCGTAAAGTCATTTACTTTAGCGAGTTTTAAAGTTAATGACTTCTACTTTAATGTGTAAATAATAATTTTTATGCCAAAAAATTTTGTTACAAAGTAGCAACTTGTCAGACTTGACATTTTTTTTTAAAAAAAAATTGCTTTGTTCAAATGTGCAAATTTTTGCAAAAAATTTAGATAAATTAAATTAGTAATTTTTAAGGGAAAGTAGAAGACCTGAGCATGATATCCTAAAAATTTTATGAAAATTGATTCATTTTTGAAAAACTTATGATATTTTGAAAAATGACAATTTTTTAGAAATTTTAAGTGTCCCTAATAATTTGGAAGGGTACTGTATATATATATGTTAAAACATAGTTTTGCTTAGACAATATAATAAATTATAGTTGACTTAAGATTATATATATATATATAGAATCTTAAGTCAACTATAATTTATTATACTATCTAAGCAGAAACTATGCTTTAACAAAAGAACTATTAAAAAATTACAATAAAAACTATAAAATTTTATTCACATATTTTTAAAACAAATAATACTGCATTAAAAATTAGCAATAAAAATAAAATGTTAGCACAATAGCATTCATTGCAACTACATTTTAACTACAACATATACAGCATAGATTTCAATGTTATTTTTCTGCATTTAAAAAAAAATTGAGGCATGATAATTTATATATTTTAGGAAACATAAATATACAAAGACTAGGAATTATTATGAGCTAGAAACTACAACCATAAACTAGGAACAATCAGTCGATAAATTGACTAATAGATATTTCTGATTTCAACAAAATCTTCCCATTTGCAAAATTGGTCAACATGACTTCGAGTGCAATAAGCATAGGAGCTTCAAAGACAATGTGTTTGATGAGTCATGACTTTCATTGACCAGAGGATGACAAAAACAGGGCATCAGGAGATGAGGTCTTTGTGATTTTTCCTATTCGGTAAATTTTGCTTCGCCATTCGGCATACTTCGAAAATTCATGTTTTATTATTTAATTTTGAAAATACAAATGAAATTTTGAACAAATTGACCAACTTTTTTTCAATGTATAATTTATTTGAAGAAATTAAATTGTAAAGCTTCGAAGATTAATGAACATTGAATAGCAGCGGGGGTTGCCTTCAATGTAATTATGATAAACTATAAAAATATCAAGGCATAAAACTTAGGATATTGAATAAAACTTTGGAGAAAAGAGTGAAAAGCGCTTGAAAGGAACTGCAATGTAATTTTTGAGGGATAGCAAGTGATAGTGGAAACTTCTTGTGATTATAAAAGAAAACATTAAAAACTTTGCGCAAAACTAAATTACATGTTCATTGACTTTTACAAACTCCCTTTGATGCTGAATTCTTAAATTCTATTGAAAAAAAATTTTAAAGATTAATTCAAACAAAACTTTAAATTAATAGAAAATATTAAGAATAAACTGTATTCTCCTAAAAAAATATAAAAGAACAGTGGAAGCTTTAACTGCTAAGTAGCACAAATCACTAAAATATCAAAATTTTTACACATTTAGACTTATTCCTTACGAAAAATATCATAAGTTGCAAAAGACTTTATGATGAAAATTAAAACCTTGATTGTGGCAACAAATATCTGTTATATTCAAAGTGAAGTTATTTTTTAGGTCAGTTCATTAAATTATAAGTCAACATAATTTATTAAAAACAAATATTGTATTTGAATAAAATTGATTCATTAAAAATGACCAGAAAATTGTGTAAGAGGAAAAAAAATTTTACGAAAAATATTCTAATTTCAACTATGTTTAGCTTTTAAAATGAATGAACCTTAAAAGTAAAATTCTTCAAAAAATAATTAAATACTTTAAAATATACAAAATTCTACAAGAAATAAAGTTGACTCACACTTCAAACAATAAATAACATGTTTGTTGCCGGATCACGCCTCATCATGAGACTAAATTCTTCCGTATTGTTTAACAAATCAAGTGGTAGCAAGATGCAGATTATCTTCCAACTATTTTAGCAGAAAATATTATGTTTTCTCATGACAATAACATATTGTTTATTAAAATAAACTTATTGTAAAATTTATAATCTAAAATGGTTGCAAAAATAAGAAAATTAAACATTGATTTTACCTTTATAGATAGCTACTCTTCAATGATAAAGTATAATCACTTGAACTAGACTTGCAATGAACACATTAAAATGTTGAGATGAGAAAGAATAAAAAAAAGTCTCAAAGACGAAAAACAAGAAGAAAAAAATGATGTGTGATATAGAGCAGGGGATACATTTTCCACTTCCTCCATTTATTAATATGAACATTTATAACTGTCAATTCATTGATAGAAAAAACAAGGATATTTAAAACAAGAAAGAAGTTATATTTTAAGGAATCAAAACTCTTAATTACAATTAATCAAACATCTGCATTAAGAGAAAGAACCAATGTAACTTGATACTTTTCCCCCACTGTTAAAACAAGAAAAAGAAACAAACTTTTATTTATTCATTTTTTAAAAAAATAACTTAGTTTAATTTAGCCAACAATGGCAATCTTAACATGCGTTAATACTTTCTTTTTCTTGTATAATCCAGAAGAAAAATGATGCACCCTGAAGAGTGTGTTATAACTTTTTCTGCCTCTCACATTTACAGCGCATAAGCAGAATCACTGCAAAGTATGCTAGAAAACAGAACGGTTTACAGTTTAATGAACTTGTAATTAACCTACTTTTATAGTTCGATTTAAGCATTCATCAGCCATTAAGCGAACATCTGAATTTTCATCATCACAGCAAAGCAAAAATGTATCCATAGCAAGACCTAAAACTTTTGGGAAATCAGCAGAAGATCTAAAAAATAATTATTGTTTTACTAAAAAAAACAAGAGGATATCATACAAGAAGCAAAATTATTGAAATTTCATACAAGTATGTTTTAGTTTTGTTTCTAAGGAAAAATCAATCAAATGAATATCTTTCAATCTTATTTAGTTAGATTACACAGTTATTTTAACAAATTAGTTATTACTTATATAAAGGGTTGGTAAACTTTTTACGCATGACGGTTTTTAGCACCATGTCAAAAACTCAAATCTTTGGCGATATTATGGTTTGGTTATCAATACCACAATGTAACAACACATTATTTATTTCACATATAACATAATAAATAAAATAGACGTGAACGTTCTGCAGAGATGCTGTTGCGGGTAGTTGATTTATCAACAACTTCTTTGGAGAATGTGGGTGGTGCATACTCTCTCTCTCTCATAGTTGTTACCTCCACAGTGATATTGTATTTTCATTTTATTTAAACTACCATATATTCTGGTGTATTAGTCAACTTTTCAAGCCCCCAAAATTTTACGAAAATCAAGGGGTTGCCTTATACACTGGTAATAAAATCAGACATTTGTTGATGACAAAATATTGATGCATTATAAACAATAAGAAATGAATAATTCTGTATCAATTTATCCATTCTAAAAACTATTTTAAGTATGTTATATATACAATTATTTTTCCATTTTCTCTTATTTTATTTTATTTAGCTATATTTTAAAAAAATAATAATAAATCAAGTTTATAAAAAAAATTAAGAATAAGAAAGTTAAGATAATTTATTCAAGAGTATTCCAAAAAATATAACAAAATTAAAACTTTTAAAACCTACCATAAAGGTATAAGTTTAAAGATTCCAGAACAGCATCAGTGTCAGATTCAATAATGTTACCAGTGTCGTCATAAGGATCTCACTGGGCAATGACTTCCACTTCATCTTAACCCCATGCTACACTTTTATAAGATTCTACAATAACATTTAAATCCACACTTTGCTGCGTATTTAGTATCATTTGACATCCGTAGGAACAGCACTGATATTTCCAGTTTGATAGGAGGGTTTTTTTCTCCTTTTATCAGCTATATTCTTTCTAAGAAGATTGATTTTAGAAATTTCCATACATGTTTTTTTTCAGTTGACTAACCAAAACCATGTTATTACGTAATCAAAAACAGAGGATCGACTTTTACAATAGGTCAGCTTATACACTATAAGGTAATTAAAAAAAATAAAAATTTATCTTAAAGCATTAATCGTTTTTTTTTTATAAAAAAAAGCTATAAATGATATTAAACCAAAAAATAACCTTAGATTATATTAGAATGAAAAAAATAACCTATGATTATATCAGAATTTCAGATGATTATATCAGAAATTATAGTATCTTAAGTAGAATAAATATATTTATAAAAATTGTCTACATTTATAAGTTTTATTTCATTTTACACATTACATCAAAACATTTCATGCATAACACTAAAAATTCTGATCATTTATAGATAAAGAGAGGAATAAAGCTAGAAATTATCTAGCCCTAGAATCTTTCATAAAATTTTTGAAATAAGAATGAACACAAAAGAAACAAACTTAAAAAATCATAACCATCTCATCTTATCAATTTTGTTTTCAACTACTTTATCATAACTTTTTATAATTAATATTTGATATATTAAAATAATTATATAAATATACCTAATAGCAAAATTTATTATTAATTATAAAGAAAACTTTGTTAAAAAATTCATTGTCTGCTGAAACATAACATGAAGGAAAAAGTAAGATTTCGTGAGTTTTAATCTGTGTTGTATCAAAAACCAGTTTTTTACATCAAAAACTGAACCCAGCTTATTTAAAGAAATAAAAAAGAACAATCTTTATGAAAAATATACATAATAAAAAGTGAAAATATTCAGGTTAAACTAAACCTTTAGAAATTTTAGTCAAAAAAACATATTACCTCAGACTATGAGAACATATTGCATCAGCAACAACACTACAATGCAAGATTTTATCTTTCGAACAAGTGGTTGTCTCTTTCTTTCTAAAACTGTAACAAATCATAGTAAATATTTAGTATTTTTAAAAGGTTGACATATAAAAGACCATATTATAGGACAATAAAATCAATTTAATGCAACTTTGATTTAAAATATTACAAAATTATAAGGCTCAGTAAATCAACAACATCAAAATGCATCACTCCACTGATGTGACTAGCCAAGTTAAGCTTTGTTTACATAACGTTATTAAATAAATAAAAAAAATAGTACAAAAATCCACTTATAGGTGATGCTGTTATAATGATTAACACATTAAATATGCTTTATAAATGTTAAACAATATAAAAAAACATTAGAACTGCTTAATTGCTTGAATCCATTTTTTTTTTCATGCTTTAGCAGTCACAAACAATTTTATAGACTCTTCAAAAATTGGTTGTTTTTAAAGTTTTCTTTTTGATAATTGTTATTGTTGTAATTTGCATTCAATGTGTCATCAGTTTGTTAATAAATATTTTAAAAATGAAAAATTTCTGCCCTCGTCTGCTGTAAAACAATAGTATAGGTTTATAAATATTTATATGCATTTATAAACTCATTTTTTCATCCAACTATTCACTAAAATGTCCTTCAATGATTTGATCATAAACAAATTCGCTGCTTATTATTGCTGACTTGTAATAATTCCCCTACTCACTGATTCATTGATTGGTATTCTTTAATTTCTCAATCTTATTTAATTCGCTGTAACTAAAATTGTTCATGACAGTTTTCATGATGGAGCAATAAGTGTATTTGTAATAAATTGTTTATGAAATATACTATCTAAAAAATAATTGCTTAAAATAAGTTAATTGACCTCATTTAAAACACATTATTAAAATAATGGACAGTCGTCATAGTAAAATAATTATTCCTATCAAATAACTTTTGAGAAATATTAGATATTCTCTACTTCATGGGTCAGCAAAGTTTTTTGATCATCCACCCCTGTATAATTTTTCGAAATCTCCATCGACTCCCATGAAAGTAATTTTCTGCTAATTAAAATTAAACTCTATTAGATACTGTGTCTGCACATTTATTTTATGATTTTAAACATTTATTAAAGTAATATATATAGTAAATAAATAGAAAATTTTAAAATGTCTCCGTATGATTCCTTTTTCTTTTTTTTTCAAAAATGCTTTTAAAGTGAACATCTATGTTCAGCAAAATGCTAATTTCTCCTTTTGAGAAAAAGAGTGAGTCTATGGGCTTAAAATATAAAATTAAAACAATATAGCTAAAATTTTCAATGATTTTTCAATTTAAAAATTTTATATTTGCGTCTAAGAAACGAATATTAAGCGACTTACAATTTTTAAAAAATTTGCCACATATGGCTGCCATTTGCCTGCCTATGTTTTCATTTCTCTGCAGAGCTGAAAGCAAACTTTTTCCGAAGATTTCTGTTTCGCTCTGCAGAAGTTTTCTATATACTAGCATGTGCCTGCAATGAATAACCTTTCACACAGTTAATTCATTATTGTTTATCACATATCAACGAGAATCATTCTTTCCTCTACGATTTAAATTTACTTTTGCTTTTATAGTTATGAATTTTAAGACACAAAAAATTAAAAAGGTAGGATTCCAAATTTCGAGAAATACAAGTTTTTGTTATTTCTTAGGAACTATTTGACTATTTTCCTCAAATTTTATACTTTGCCAGTTAAAAATATCTTCTTTGTATACCATACATTTCTAAAGTTTTTCGACTATCATTAAATAAAATAATAAATATATACTAAAAGTTATATTTTTCATGAAATTATCTTTAGAAAAAGAATTTTATAATTGTATGCAAAACTTTTTCAATTTGCTTAAAAAAATTTGGGGGTATAGTGAAATAAGAAAAAACTAAAGTTAACATTAAAGGGTCCGAACTCTAAACCGAGCTCCAGACAAACTATTAAAACAATATTTTCAGATTGCGGCCACTATATTTTGGGGGTCAGAAATCTGAATCCGTCGAAAAAAGGTATGTTCAATCAGAGAATATTTCTGTGTCTAATTTCCTAACTTTAAATTTGACGTCACCCTCTCGAACCATTAAGAATGAGTCCTAGAACATGAAAATCCAATGATTAGATCACAAGTAATTCCATTGGGATGATTTATTTTTTTGCACACAGTACATTCATTTGAAGTAGATGTCAATATCGCTGATAACAGCAAAAGATTTTTCATTTTTACATAGGAAGATAATTTAGCTGGTGGTTATCCACATATTAATAACTTAAAGGATTATGATTTAATGAGAAAAATAAGGTGAAACGATGTTATTTTCCATATTAATATCAGACAAGTAAAAATGTCTTCCATTTTGTCTCCTTTCATATCACTTTATTAATTTTAATAACAGAAAAAATGCATTTTCCTCAAATGATTTTTTGCCGCTATAGCGGAAAGATACAAAGAATTTTTGTATCTTAAATATCAATGCTTTGAAGATATAATATCGAACTTCCTGCAATGTGAATTTCGTTATATCAAGCTTTTACTTTATTTAAAATTTGCAAAAATACGAAATGAAATTTTGGTTTGAAGAAAAAATATTTACACCTACAGAAAGTGTATTAAAATTATACTAAACTAAGGCCCAGGCTTCGATAAATCTGGCCCTGAAAATAATTGAACCTGTTCCAACATACCCAGTCTTATCGCATGTATTGAACTATTTCATATTATTTTAAATTGCAATAATTATTGGGGATTCTATTTACTTTTATTTTAAATATTCAATTTGAAACTATGAAGATTTCCATATCCTGATCTAAGCCAAAATAATCATCAAAGCTTGGTGAGATGTGGTTCGCAAGAAATTTAAAAAAAGAAAAATTAATAAAACATCACAACCAGGGACTAACTGGAAGGGCATAACTTATAGCCACCTCCAAGCAAACCTCTTTTTTTTTTAAATAAGCAAGTTTAAAACCTATTTGATGCCTTGTTTATAGTTAGCGTAACAGAGCACGTTACCTTAATATCCCCATGAAACAAACATTTTCCATTTAAATCTAATCCTAACAATTTTCGCTAGAGTACATTTAATTTTTATTCCGATTGTAGCCTTTTTAATTCATTGCAAAAAAAAATAAAAAATTCTGCTATTCAAAACACATTTATGTTTTTAATACGGAATTTGTTTCTGTAATTTAGGATACTCCTCAGTTCATGGTACATCTATCTTATATTGGTGTAAAGGGGCGTTTGAATGTGATTATCAAATATGCAAATTTAATTTTAAAATGTGCATGGGAAAGAAAAGCTCAAATTTTAATGATGTATTTAATATTTTTCTATCAAACGAAGCCGCAGCAAAAGAACTACTAACTATTTTTCTATCTAAAACAGATATCACATAGTCTATACAGAATTGACAGAACAGTAGTAGTAAATTCGTAAAATTAGCATTTAATCACACCGAAAATCGTAGTTATTTTTAATGCACGTACTTAGACGACGCATCTTCAGTGGAGCTAGATGGCTGAATAACTTTTAATGCTTCAAGAGCTTTCATTAGTTTGTCCATAGTTGCCATGTTGAAGCAAATAGACAAATTTCTAAATTATCTGAGATATAGGACGTCAGAATATATTTCCTCCATTTATTAAACCCATTTATAATATAAGGTAAAGAATATTTATAGAGTCAAGCAATATGTTTCGCATGTTGTGTTTAATATGAGTTTAGTCTTTGAAGGATATGTTTACATCAAGAAGTTTCATTCTAACACTTCTGTCTCCACGTACAATTACGTGAAAGCGCATGCGCTCAGAATGCTTGGCTAGAATTTTATTCCCCAAACGATTCTAGAAGACTTCATTTACCCATTAGTACTGATGAATGTTTACGATATTTGGCGCACTATCGTCCAGCACAACTGACTGTCATATACAGATATTCTTAGAACGCATGCGCATTCAATCAGTAAGTGTATGCGGTGACACTAGTGTATGACAACAACAATTATCAATTCAAACAATTAGAGTTTGTAAAAATGATAATTGATTTATTTTCCGAGGTTAAAATAAATTAAACTCATACATTTTATTGCGAAAAACTATGTATTTGAAATTTAATTATAAAGCTACACAAATATTTGTAATGTTAATTAAACAGGAAATAATTCGTTTTTAAAAATGTTGTTTAACACTTGCTTAAAAAATAGTTTTAAGTTTACATGATGATTAAAGTATTAAAAAAAATAGGAACTGTCTTAGCTGAAGTATGCTATGAGTAGAAGACAGGTTCCATGTCTTTACCCTCCCCCCCTATTATTGGATGGTATTTTCAATATAAATTTAAACAGCAACGATCTCGAGCTCATGACCTGCTCTACTTCCGGTTAAAAAGTTCACAACTGCTTACTAGCAGATAATTTGTTTTTAATAAAAGAAATAAATTATATGACTTCTGACCTCAAATCTGCTGTATTTAATAAGATATGAATGATATTAAGTAATTCTCTTGAGTTTAAAGTGAAAATTTGTTATTTAGCGATGTAAACAAGGTGACATGGTCGCCATATTTAGAATGAACTCGCTTTTTTAGCAGTTCTGAGAACTCTTTTTACTTGTTTATTACTGTTTGTTCTTACTGCAAATCATTCACCATCATACATTAGTGTTAACGTATTGTTCGAGCAGTGAGATTAAGTTCATATTATAAATTATCATTTAGGTTTAAACTTCGAAGATGGCATATTGCTGACAAGGTAAGAAATGTTTTATAACGATTATTTTTTTCTAATGGTGGTTCTTAACGTCTTTAAATATCAGTCGCATATTATCTTCATCTAGTTAAATATCTTCAAATGGCAATTCTTATAACGATTCTTATTTTAAACACAGATAATTAATCCGGTAACAAATGCATGTATACAAGAAATACTACTCAAGAGAGTCTCAAAATACAATGATCATGTTGTGAACCAAATGGCTTCGAAGCAGACCAAAACAGAAAGCCAAAATTATAGGCAGTCAAGAGCTCGCAGCGCTCCCTAGTGTAGAAAACACTATACATATAAACTACATAGTACAATATTTTTATGTATTTTCTAAAATTCATCCTACTAATTCATGGCTACTAATTATTAAGACATGAAAATTTTAAGCTTTAAAGAGGTGACTTTCTGTGTCTACTCAGAGGTGACATCCGAGTGCGAGAGATTAATATTTTAACGCATCTCCATGTTAGTTTAGATGTTTATATTTTCTGCTGCACTTTANATTTTTTTCTTCTTATTTCTTTTATTATTATTTTTTGTTGCAAAAAATAAGAAATTGGGTCCTTAATTTCAGTCATTTGGGGGCCCCCCTAGAATTTTACAGGAGAAGCACTTGCTTCCTGTGCCTTTTCGGTAATCCGGCCCTGCGCCCGACTGAAGAACGATTTCTCAAAAAAAAAAATTTTCCTTTCTATTATCAACAAACTTGCAACCGATAACTTCCGCTTTCGTGATCGCATACTGTTACAGATATGTGTATGGATGGTGTTTTCAATAGAAATGTAAACAATAACAATCTCGAGCTCGGGACCTACTAAAAAAAAGTATCCTACTCTACTTCTAGTAGTACTCTAGTTCCGGTTAAAAAGTTTGCAGCTGCTTACTACATGTTATTCTGATAGGCGATGTTTTCAAACGGATAATTTTGTTTTCAATAAATAAACTAGAAAATTTCTGAGCTCAAATCTGCCGTATTTCATAAGATATTAATGTTATTATGTAATTCTGGGGAGTTTGGAGTGAAATTTTGTTTTAGTTATTTTGTTATTTATTATTAAAAAGGGTGACACAGTTGCTAGATTTTGAATAACTCGCTTTTTTGGCANTTAAAAATGACCGCTGTTTGTTCGTGTTGCAAGCTGTGCACCATCTTACGTTAGTGTTAACACTTTTAGTATTGTAAACAGTATTGTTAGCATTGTAAACATAAGTAATCAAATGCATTGTTTGCAAGAATCTAAACCACAATGATGCCAAATGGCTTTAAAATACAACTGAAACAGTAACCCGGAAATTTAGGCAGTCCCGAGCTTGCAGCGCTCCCTAGTGTAGAAAACACCATCCATTACGATAAAATACTTTTTTTATTTTTTTATCTTCAATTCATTATAAATTAAAGAGAAGTTATTTAAGTCCACATTGCTTACTTGTAGATAATAACCATTTCATTGAGGGGTTTTATATTGTTATACTAGTATTATTTTTATTTCTTAAAGAGAATCAGATTGCTAAATAAAAAATTAAATCTACTCAATTAAAAGATACCAATTTTTTTTACAGTTTTGCGAAATAAAACTTTAACCTAGATTTCATTAGAATCATTTTGTTCAGTTGTCATCAAAATTTAATGTATTGTTTCGTTTAAGTTTCTATTCAACTTTTGTTTACTTTAAATATGTTTATGTTTTATGCCAAATTATTTAATGTGGTGTAAAGTTGTTTAATGTTGTATTCCTAATAGCAGTTTTGGCTGGAAATAATTTTATGTAAAGCTCAATATAAAAGTAAATATAGCACATTTGCTGCTAAGTAATGATTTCAAAACTGTTAAATTACATACCGTTTCATAAAATGTTTCAATATGTTTTCTTTTTCTTTAATTTTTTTTTGTGAAATTTTATGTAATAAGATGATATTATAGAATTACTTTAAAGTTATAATAAAAGAAGACGACATATTATTTAAACTGCTGATTTGAGATAAAAGTAGAAGTCAAATAAGATAGAACAGAAATCATATAGTTGAGAATAACATTAAGAAAGGATGATAACGAAGTACTACAAGTAAATACTTGAAAAAAATAAATTATTTATAGGCATTTTTTAATTAAGGAGCCTTACCAATTTTCTGACCACAGGAATGAGCTGACAACTTTAAAAAATCGTTTTTAAACTCATTTATTTATATGTAACATTGAGAAACAAAACAGTAATATTTGTTGTACCTATAGATTGCTAAATATATGAATATTTCGGTTCGAAAATTATAAACTTTTTCGAGCATAATTGTATTTTTATCTTGTGAAAATTTTCGTTCAGATATTTACTGCAACGAATTTAAAAAGTATTAAATTAAAGATAGTGAAAGAAAAGTGAAATAATTAAAGGTGTCTGGATATTAGTATGACCTATATTTACTAGGCATATGACTTAATTTAAATGGTAAAAGTTAAGAAAACTATCGTGCATAACTGTCATTAAACTTTTTAGTATTAATTTTTCTAATAAATGAACCATTTTATTCATATAGGAAGAAAAGAAAAATTTGGCCAATTATTTAGAAAAAGTGGCGCACTACTCAATAACTGGTGAATATCATCAGCAGCGAATTATAAAAACTTGTTCTTCGAATAATTTTTTAATGTTTCCCCAAATTTCTTTATTTACACAATTTTTTTACGTTTAAAAAAATTTTGAATCTTAATTTCTGCACTTAAGTTTACAAACATGGGGGGGGGGGTATAAAACCTAATTCAACTTCAATGAAATCATTAAAAATGGAATATGAATTTGTTTCATAGATATTATTAACCCTTAATAATTTGGAAATATTTCAAGTTTTCTTCCCACCATTATAATATTAAATTATTTAGAAAAATTATAATTAAATTAATTGTAAGTATGACAAAAATAAATTATAGATTTTGCGGCCAATTACATGGCATAGGATACAGTAAATAAAAGTGTCATATCGCTTTCATGTCGGCATTGGTTCTTTTAAAAGTTAAATTATATAAAAGCAGTTTATGTTCTATAATAATATATAAGATTAATCTATAAAATATATATTATAATTCAATAACCTTTTCAAGCTACATAAATGATTTCTTTTAATAAAAATTGATAATTTTTCTTAATTGAAGTAAAAACTATAATAGTAGATAATAACAATAACAAAAACAATAATAATAATTTCATTTAAATTAAAAATATTTGTAAGGCTTTAGGAGTGCCAATGTTCTATAAAGAACAGATGCTTCACTTTTCCATCATAGTTAAATGCACATTAATATGCTTTTAAAACAAGTTGAATGCATTTCAACTTATGAATAAAGTTAAATTATCTTCAATTATTTTGAAGTCTTGTTCTAAGGATAATAATTTACAATTATTTTGCTTTTGAAGCAAAACTTATTGATCTAGCACAATAAGTTTTGAAAAAAATCCACCTTTAAAGAAAATGGGTTTCGTAGGCCCATCAGAAAAAACCCGGCCGGATTAGCTTAAGTCGCTTGGGACCGCTTTGGCGAACCCTTGTAATAAATACAATTATATCACTGCTTCTATTATAATATTTTTTTAAAAAAATAAATTCAAATAATTAGCACTGCCACTGTGGGTATATGTATATTTGATGATAAACAATTACACTATTTTAAGGACCTTAATTTTTCAAAAAAAAGAAAAAAAAAGCTCTTAATCTTTTCAAAGAAAGTCCTTCATTTTTTGTTTTAATAGAAGATCGAGAGCACGTAATTCATATAAGACAATCTACTTAATCATGCTTATAGGTCTCTTAATGAAGAGAAGACCTGACCTGGTTAGGCTTCAACTGAGGTATTGCTTATAGTAAAAATTAACGAAAGATGAATACTTAAATTGTTTTAACTATTTATTTGTGATTATTGAATTCACCGTCATAATGCAGAAGGCGTGTGACTTGCAAGAATAAAACTAGTACGTTATTGAAACTTAATGTCAGCATTTTCATATGTAAATGCTTTGGTTCTTCTTTATTTTAAAATTTTTTCTAGTATAGTAAAAATCCTTTCTCAACTAATAGTTTTCCAGTTAATACTGAATCTTAAATTTTATTTCATTAA